CGATATTGAACAGGAACATCGTCCCAAATCCCAGTGTTAATAGCTTCTTTAACCAGTATGAGATCTTCGTCCTTCAGTGTGGCATTCTGCAGCTCTTCTAGGCGTATAGCTACGGGTTTTACCTCCTTGATTAACCATTTAACAACATCAGATTCTCCTGTGCAGCTTGTATCTGTTACAGATAGCCGCGAAAAAGAATCTGCAAGGTTTTGGTCTCCCGGTTCATACCTCACGTCGAAATCGAAAGCTTGTAATCTTAAAATCCATCTTTCAATCCTAGCTGACGGTTTGGACTGTGCACGATTGAACAAATATTTAAGCGGTTTACAGTCTGTCACAAGTGTAAAGCGTTTCCCATATAGGTACATGTACAACTTTTCCATAGCCCAAACGATGGCGTAGCACTCCTTTTCGGTTCGGCAGTATTTTCTCTCGTGGCTTGCCAAACTCCGTGATGCACAATAAATTGTTCTAGCTATTCCAGTTTTCATTTGCACGAGGATCGCACCTAATCCTACCGGACTAGCATCTGTGATTAGTAGAGTTTCATCATCATGGTTGTAGAATCCCAGCGTTTGGACATTTCCAAGAACTCGTTTTATTCCATTTAGCTCCTCCGAGTGTACTTGTTTCCATAGAAACACAGTATCTTTCCCCAACAATCCTCTCATGTGACAAGTCAATGTAGACAAATTTGGTATAAACTTTCCAACGAAGTTGATCATCCCTAACAATGATTTCAACTCTGTTAAGTTCTTTGGTGGTCTTAAATCCAGTATTGCTTGTACTTTGTCCTGCGTTGGCTTAATGCCAAATGTCGATACAATGTGTCCCAAAAAAGATACTTCAGTGACCCCAAATACCGATTTTGTGTCGTTGATTTTCATATTTAATTGTTCAATCCGGTTCATGACTTGCTTCAATCTAATGTCATGTTCTTCCTCAGTGCTGCCATGGACCAGAAAATCGTCCATGAAGACTATCAGACCATCAATTCCTCGAAAAAGATTCTCCATAGCACGTTGAAATAGCTCCGGTGCGGATTTAATACCAAACATCAATCTACGAAACCGATATGTTCCACTTCGTGAAACGAATGTCGTTATGTCTCTACTTTGTGGTTCAAGTTCGAAATGATAGTAAGCTGATTCTAAATCGATTTTGGACAATTTGGCTACCTTTCGAATAGATGCTATGGCAGCATCTATGTTCGGCATAGGGTAGTTTTCTCGTATAACCGCCTGGTTTGCTACTCTCATATCTACACAAAGCCTAATGCGTCCATCGCTCTTTCGGATGGGTACCAATGGTGACACCCATGAAAGCGAACCATCTGATCTTTCAATAATTTTACTTTCAAGTAATTCTTGAATAACCTATAGAAACAAATTATGAAGAAAAAAATACAACACAATTTGTAAACCCTGTCTATTTACATGAACGAATTATTGAAACTATTATTAGTTATAATTACCTTTTCCACGTCTGCTTCCATTGCAATGGGAAGCCTACGAGCTGGTTGTATGACTGGACTCACGTTTTCATCGATTTTAATTTTCAGCAGTGTGTCAGGCACCTTCGGAAACTCACTCTGTTGACTTTCTACTTCAACAGATCTATTTACTATGTTATTGACTTTGTATCCAATTTTCAATACACCCAGAGCAAAGGCTGTAGATTTGCTCAACAAATCCGTCTGACCCCGTGGTGCTACCAGAATGTGCGTCCAAACTCCCATTTCCTCTCCGGGTATACTTATCTCAGTTTCGAAAGCTTTCGTGAAACAAATTTTCTCGTTGGAAGCGAAAGATTCATAACGAACACCTATTTGGTCCCCATTTCGTTCGTTCAAAATATTTGCTCCTTGATCTCTTAGCTTTTGATATGTATCCTCCCGTATGATGTTTGCTGGTGAGCCCGAGTCTACTATCATAGAGGTTAAAATACCTCCGACGTTGAAGCTCAGTGTTTCGGAATCATTTCCCTCCTTCACGTAGAATACCGCTTTTTCCTTTTCTTCTGGTTGGCTCTCTGTAATCGCGTATACCTTCCTTTTGCTTGTCATATCAAATTTCTTTGGTTCATCATGTTTTCTCTTCCTTGATCTACGATCATGTCATCCATATCTTGATATTCACATCGGTTTGCCTGATCTTTCAACCGATAAATGAATTCCTCAAATTGTTCATTCTGATCTTGTATCATTGCTCTAAACTGGTGTCGCTCAAACCGTTTATTTAATTGAGGGGCGAAGTAGTTATCGATCGCAACTACGGCTGACTCATATTTTCGAACCTGTATTTCTAAGCTGTCATCTACTGCGACACCAACCTCAACTTTGTCTACTTTATCGTAATATGTTTGTAGCTCGATACCCCCAAGCACCAATAGCAAATTGAATTTCTCTTCATCATCGACTATTTCATTCGCATTGAGAAACCTAGCAAAAGCTCTTTTCCATTTCAACCAGTCATTTCGAGGATCTGCTCCCACCTTGAATGGTGGCATCACTGCGGCATCTGTTAAGCAAACGTATCAAACACGACGTTTAATTTTCTAATAACTCAACCTTGTTCTAAAATAAATTCACGAATAACATCACGAGTGAAGGAAAGCTTCGTGGAAAGCAACTCATTATATACCATATTATATACCATATGTGTGTGTACGTAGCTAAACAATTATATATAAATACCGAGCAGTCAACTAAATCATGCCTTATCTGCCATACCAAATTTATTTTGTTTGCATTCATTATGTCCGATTCTTCGTTGTCCTTTTTTTAAAAATATATCAAGAGTGCTATTTTTTTTTGACTTCACCAGCCCGAATTTCATCAACCATCAACCATCATCCATCAAGTTAGAGAAAAGTATATTACATACATACCTTATACTAACAGGCTAGCACGAAGCTGTAGCCCACGAAGCGTCAGACACTTCATACCATTACCTTGTAACAAAGCACAAAACTACATCCTCTCCATGCACGAAGCGCTCGTGAACTAATCTCAGTAGTTCAGCATAATCTTTCCAAATAATGGGTAAGAAGCGCAAGCCACTTCATAACATCGCCTTCTTATAAAGCACAAAGGTACAATCTCAAGATGCACGAAGCGTTCATAAATTATTTCCACTCACTGTTTCACCATAATCCTCCCTCAACGTAGCACGAAGCGCATCACCTTAGCACAAACATTCCAAATTATTTCTCTTAAATATCGGTTCTAAACTTCACAAGCAGCACGAAGCATAAATTTCCAATATTTATTCCGTTGATTAAACCACTTGGCTGATTTATCAACATTCTTCTGTGTAGCACGAAGCTGAATCACCAATACTTCTTTTGCTTTTTTTTCACCACTGCGATGTCATTACCCGTATACACCAGCGTGATCCTGCATTATTTAACCGATTTAACACACACGCATGCATACAATAACTATTATTTTCGCCACGAACTGTGATGTGTCCATAGGTGTATTCCATCACGGCTCGTGTTCGTCGCACACTTCATCGCAGCAACTCGTTTCTACAAATTCCCTCACGCACACAATATTAATTATCTCTCCTACAGTCACAAACAATGAAACAACCGACGCTGCCAAAAATCGCCATCTTGGAAAAAATAAAAATCCCATCACCACAACTTTTCACATCACTTCCGATACATCCGTTTTATAACATTTTCATAATTTCCAACCAACATATAAAACTCATTCTTTAAATACACATTTTTTCTTATTCAACTGTCCGTCCATATTCCCTGTTTCGATTTTACTTCCGCATCTCCATAGACGAGTTTCTGCCAATCGTTCACTGATCTATCACTGCGGTTTTTTTTTTCTTCATGTCCTACCAATTTTTAAGCGTATTTTTTTCTCATAACTATTTTCACGCAGAAATTTTTCTATCCGTATTTTTTCGAAAGGAAAAACTCACCAATTTTCATCCTCGTCGCCATTTTGTATCGATCTCGATTAACCGTACTTGCACTTACTCCGTCCCGAATAGCATCCACTCGATTACGCGTCCGAATCTAGACTGCCCCGCAGCTTCTCCGTATAAGCTTTCTCTTCGTATGTGGTCTTCTCGTATTACACCGCTGCACTTACACCACTCTGTTAATATGACTATGGTACAGTTTCGAGGGGTGCATCGATTAGCTTGGGACTGAAGATAGTACTGTTGAGCGTATTGTCCATGACAGTATGCTCAACAGATGGCGGTAGTGTTTTAGCGACGATGTTTTGCAGTGAAAAATATGCAATACGTTATGTCTGGTTGTCTATTGTAATAACATTCATCATTCCTATACTCAAGTAGCAGCCATGTGTTATGGTTTTTTGCGCTACTGTCTTTCTCTTCACTGTTCTCTTCGGTCTTCATGGTGTCACATCTTCCATTTCCATTATCAATAGAGTGCTAGTGTTGCCCAACGAAGCTCCTGCGTCTTGCGTATGAAACACTTGTGTTTGGATCGTGAGTAGCATTTATTTACACGCATCCACCTTGCACACGTGTGTACAAGTCGTGGTCTATCTCCGCAGGAAAATTTTTCCTGGATGATACGTTTACTTTTCCGTATCACCTTATCTCCAACGCTTAGTCATATCATTATAAAGGCCCACGCACATTAGATCCGGATCGGACGCGTTGCGGCAAAGTGACAGCTAAATCAATTGTCTAACTGTAAAATTTACGTCAACGCAACGCAAACGGATCTAATGTGGGTGGCTGTTTATGAATGCGTCCTCTATGCTCCCTTTCCGCTTAATGATTGCAGCTTTCTTCTCCACATTCTTGTAATCGCTTCAGTGCTTTCAAAAAGTGTTTTATTTCCACACTCAATAAAACAAAAGAGAAACAATAGTTTCTAAAAAAAAAAATCAAATTATGGATTTAACAACTTTTGCTGCCGTGTTCGATGACTCTGCTTTCACTAGATTGGGAATTATTTGTTAAAAAAATAACATCTTCTTTTCTTTTCCTCCATTTCAGATATACTTAACGATTTCGATGCAACCTGGTCGTCTCATTTTAGTTGTGTCTACCCTAAAAATATCAAATCTAGCCAAACTTTACTAATTTTATAATAAAAACAAATATTGATTATTTATTAATCAAAACAAAAAAACGGAAACCTATACAGACTAAACAAATAAAACAAACAAAAAAATAACAGCAAAGTAAACAAAAAAAAACATAAGAAGAATACGCGGTCAACCAACCAACCGTTAGTGATTTGCATTACAAATCACGCATACACACACACTCGTTCAAACAATCGCATCAAGGATCGATATAAAATCGCACCGAAACGTTGTCATCGTACCCTCACGTCGCGTGTTTCATTAACCAGTGGAATAAAAAATCGATGTTGGTTGACTGAAAGCGACGGAGGAGCTGGCCGGGTACTCGGCTGCTGATACTGAATTAATAAGCTGTAGTCAAAAGTCAAATCACAACCTATATGCACACAAGAAGTAACGTTAATATATCGTCAACCACATAGAGTTGCGCAGAGATACGAGGGGATCTTTACCAATCGAGGAAAAAAGAGAAGAAGAAAAAAAAAATCGTTCGTGGAAGAAGCATCACGAACATAAGAGGGAGTGGAAATTGATGATAACCGAAACAACATAACACAGTAGTAGTCGTCGTCGTTACTATTAAAGTACTAAAAGCAAAGCAAATATGCTAACAACCAACGTGGGAAAGGGAAGAAAGCTAAACTTTGATAGAAAGGGGAAGAACATGATAGGTGTGTTTATACAGAGAAGAGTGTATGAAAGAGATAGCAATGATTCACCGCCATAAAAAACAAAAAAAACAAACAAACAAACAAACAAAAAACAATTGAAGCAGAAAATCACGCAAACAAAAACAAAACAAACAAAGCTTATAACCCTTTCAAAGTAATGAAGATACAAGAAACATGTGTGTCGTGTAAGCATAACTAGTGAAACAAACAAAGAAAGGAAGTCATGTCGCTGTCATGCTAGTGGGAAATCAAGAAACTAAGTCTTAGAAGTCTGTGAGCTGTTTTCTATTTTTTGATTAATTTTAGTTTTTGATGGAAGGGTAGTGAATATAAAAGTAAAACTTAACAACCGACACACAAACACGTGCAACCTGTACACGCATACATTACATACATACATATACATATATACATACACATTGTACGTGAATGCAGCTAGATTAAAGTCACATCGTAAAATAGAGCAGAAAGAGAGAGGTAAGTCAACAAAAGAAAAAAAAAATGGATTTAATGTTATTAGAGCAGTGTTTTTTTGTTTAGGAGAAAGTTGCTTCTAAATTCGTCCAAAATCATTATGCGCTATTGTTGTAGAACTATTTTCCAGTATTTTTAATTATCGTAAACTGTATACACATTTTATTGAATAACGATATATTATATATATTTTTGTTTTAGAAAATTTTATCTTCCTTGTTGAATCCGCTTTAAAGAGAAAGAAAGAGAAAAAATATGAGAGAAATGTTTTATTTTTTATTTACGTATTTAATAATTTATGATGTAGATGTTTTATGTTCATTCTGTGACATACGATAGTGAAGGAAATACAAATTAATGAAAAGGCAGAAATATATGAAAATCGTAGTTGAAATAGTAGGGTAAATTTTCAAATTAGCAGCTTCTTAACGAAAGAGAGAAAAAAATATGCAAAAACAATCAACAACACTTTGTTTGTCCACAGTCTGTGCTGTGGGCGGCAACAACAAGTAGAGAGCATTGAATATATAGGATGTTTCTGGCAGAATGTTTTGTAGCCTAGAGAACTTTTCAAAAGTACACGGATCTGAATCTCGGAACCGGCAGATTAGACAAATACACACGGCAATGTATGTGCGCAACCGAATGAGGTTCAAATACCTACTAGAGAAGAACAAAAATCACAACAGTGTGTGCTGCAATTTCGGCGCAAATCGCATTTCATTTTCTATTAATACGTAGCAACATACTTTATAAAGCGAAATCATTTTACTGGTTTAAATCTGCGATAGTGACAATAGGAAACACCTACTTGATGCGTAGCCCTGGCGATTCGATTGTTAGCCGTGACTTATATGTCATTGCGATTCATTGGATTTTTCCTTCATCAAATTAAAACATTTTATCCTAATGGCTACCGTTGTCCTATTGCTTCGCTCGAAACGAGTAGTAAACATGCATCACATGCGACATGAAATTTAGCGCTTAATATTTCCTAACGAAACCAGATTAAACGCAAATCGTAAATCGCTGAAACTGTGTCATATATATCATTGATAATTTATGCTTAGAAGAAAACGTAAAAACCTTGTTGCAATATTTTATTTTAACCTTTTGTGTTATACTAGTTTTAGTTGGCAAATTATCACCAATGAAAGTCTCGCATCCCAAAAGAAAATCTCTTCTTGCTTCGAGAGAGTGAGCCACACACCGCAAATGTTACAACCATTACACACCCACAAACGAAACGACGTAAATCGTAAACACCCACACACGCAGCTACCACACAATAGATTAGAGCAATAGATTAGAGAGAAAAATTTCCCGATATAAAAGAATGACGAAGAAAACATAAGACGTATAAGATGTTTTAGGCAATCGAGAATACTAATTTGTTATTTATTTTAGTCCACCATCGCCAAACGCTATAGCAGATATCGAAATGAACCACCACCCTTTTCTCCATCTCTCTCTCTAGAAAACACCCCTCCCAAAAGTCCAGATAGATTTTATTGTTAACTATCGTGCGTCTATTTTTTTTTTTGCCGGAGCCGGCAGTGAATTGTGAGGAAGGTGTCTAAAGAGAAAGAAGCAAGTCAACACACACACACACATACACATACACATACAATACACAATAGATGGAAAACAACAAACACAAGTGGTTACAAGAGAAAAAGAGAGGTAGAGGTAAACGTGTATAACTCTTTTATATAGTTGTATAGATTATATATGAGGGAAAAAATTGAAAAAGGATACAAAAAATAAGAGGACAAAATAGTCATACCTGTAGAGAATGAGAGATACAAAGTCGCACAAACAGAAAAGAAAATTCTATCCAATGATGTGGAAATAAAGCAAGCAGAAATGTGAAAAACTTTTTGTTTTTTGATTTTGTTTTCCTTTTTTTCGTATTCCATGGTACAGTGAGAATTAAGGTGAAACCAAACAGATCGAGACGAGCGTAAATGACTGCATTTGTGCTAGTTAACAGGAAGAAAGAAAGTATCATTAAATTCATTCACCCAATAGTATATAAATTCAAGCATGAATTTTCAAAAGAACATATCTGCTTTTGTAAACAAAGATTCAACCGTCACTTTGTCGAAACACTTAGCTCGACCACTACAATCATGTTAAATAAATTTTACCCTACCTGATGCTGGTGTTAATTTGCATGGATTAGCTTAGACTTTCGACAAATTGACGTTTGGATTTTTGTTTTCAAAGCAGATACGTCCTTTTGAAAATTCAACCTTTAATTACTGTAAAAATTGCATATAAAGGTTGAACATGGAAAAATCCGGACACGAAAATCTTGTTGGGGTATAAGAATGCGTTAGTTCAGTGCGATAGCTATACATTAGTAGCTATTATGCTTATTGTAAAACCATTGTTTCAGTCTTTCTTCTTACCATAGGCCATTACTCAAACTTTTCTTCGTACACGGTCCATCATCTTTTTCAAGAGCCCTGTTTTCACTTGTTTGGCTGCCAAATTCCATTTCCGCTTGAAATCCTTCAGGTCAATTGCAGTTCCACCCTTTTTCTTCATAATGTGCTTCACAATTGATCAGTATTCCTCAATTGGCCTTAGTTCCGGAGTATTGGCGGGATTCATCTCCTTGGGAACCACTGTGACGCCATTTTCGCTGTACCACTGTTTGGTGGAATTTGAGTAGTGGCGGGATTTTCGTTTCGAACGTGCAGGATCGAATCGCGACATACTTGCTCCAGTGACGCTATGATGTAAACAAATAAACTTATCCTGAGGCTGTGTTCAATTTGGTGAATTTTCACTTAAATTTGACAGATGGAAAATTTTCAAAGCAGACTTATTTCTGACCGATCAGGAATCAATTTTGACAAACATCTATTTGAAAATCGGACGATCAACAAGAGAGGGATTTTCGAAGAGTGTAATTTATTCTCCATCTGTCAAATTTAAGAGAAAATGGAACACAGCCCGAGAAGAGAACCAACGCCTACTGTGATTCTATACACTCTTAGCTTGATGCAGTAAATATTGAAAATTTTACTTAAAAAATGCTAATGACAGCGTTTTTAATGTGTCCGGATTTTTCCATGTTCAACCTTTGTGTAATATAAATCAGCCCAGTGAAAGGGCCTATTGCAACAACAGAATTTGACAGAAGGCAGCTTGTCCCGGGCCCAAATAAATTATTTTGTTTTGTTCTGAGCCCGTTGTCACGTATGACCTATTGCTTATGCGTCCTGTCATTGGGCTATTTTAAATGGCTGAGATTTTGTTTACCTTTGTTACTTTCGACGTAATGAAATATTTGGTTTTGATTTTTAGTCGAATTTCAATGCACGATGGAATCTTTATTATGCTTTTGTTCAAGATTTCGACAGACCTTTTTGAAGACAAAAAATAAATGCACTTTACCACCCAGTCATCGGCGCCGTCAGTTCAACACGATTCATGAATCAATTTCAAATGACGGCACCCATGGTTGAGTGGTAAACGAGACCGAAAACGAGACTGCCTCTCACTCCAGTGGGTCTAGATTCAATTGCAGCCGAAGTTGTAGGGATTTTTTGAGGAGAACAAATCTCTGGCCACGTCTTCATTCGAAAGGGAAGTAAAGCCATTGGGACCGGCACATGTGTTGATGGGTTCGATATGTTGAGTTCAGGTGTAGACCCAGCTAACAATTTTACCTGCAGATTAGCTTATACAGCCGAAAATTGGCTTATACAGCTAATTTTTGCCTGTATAAGCTAGTCTGCAGCTACAATTGTTTGTTGGGGAGTCGCCTCTCTGGCGTCAGTGAATGGCACTCGCATGCGTAATGGGCCTTATACAAACTGCAATCTGGTTGACATCCTGTTTGGTTGATACTCGATTGTATCGTGTACAGTGATTGCAAGACAAAATTGACAGTTGATCAAGTCGTTGAAGTAAAATCAAAATGTTTTGATTTAATGTGGGCGCAGGATAAGTCTGTCAACCTGGTTGGATTGTGTATGGGGAAGTCGCACAAACATCGCGTATATTTTAAATGGGTTGGCCAACAGGTTGACCCACAACTCGAATAGCAGATTAGATTGTGTGTGCGCAGTTGCGAAATGTGCTCGGTTGATGAATTGGTTGAAAGGAGATCCGACACCCAGCCGAAGAATGATGTTTACAACCAGGTCGCAGTGTGTATGAGCTGCACTATAGAGGGTCTAGTATAAGAGAGGAGCTACTAGACTAGAGGACTGACTGGTTTTCAGCCAAACGAACTGTCAAAGCCAGAGCCAATCGAGCAGCACCTATCTTGATTGCATTGGCTGTGTTGCTAGAAAGCACCTAGGCATAGCTTGCCAAGCCAGTCTCATTTGACGTAGGACTACGTCTGTGATTTATATATGGGGGTACACTTTGTGAAAACCAAAAATAGAACATGTAACAAAATTATCAAAGATTTTGAACGTTAATAACTCAGCTACCCCTGGACCAATTTCAATAATTTTATCACCAATCGATCAGAAATATTCCTATGCATTCGTTAAGACTTTATAATTTTTTAAAATGTCACTATTGTAAATTGCAGGATAATTAAAATTATCACCGATTGCCTGCGAAAAGCGATTCCCTTAACACAGATTTTAAAGTTAAATTCCATCCAGTCTCACAAAACGATGTTTATTCAATCACCGTGTGGTGGTGTTCTCCAGTAAACAACGAAACCCCAATAAAACAATTACCATACCCAAATGATAACCCAAATGATTGAACTATTCAAACACGTCGTTTAGCAAAATAACCATACAAACTTTATTAGAGAAGGCTCCTTTCAAGCAGCTAGCTATCAAGGCTGGCCTCAACCGTTGATCGGATTCAGTTCCAATCACCGTGTGTGGTGGTCAAGGTCATCAATCGGGTCATCATCAGGTAGAGTAAGACTTGCTCTACCCGACGGTGATGTTGGTTTGCGTGGGCGTGCCTTGAATTCCTAAAAATCATCGAGAGAAGTCATTGTTTACGCCCAATTCCAGCTCTCTCTAGATATGTTTAAATCTAACATACCATGTACTTTTTAAGGCAACATTGCGGATGCAATTTCAAAAACCAAAGTTGGTCGCGGCATGAAAGTGGTCTGATTTTGATCCAAAGATGATGGGTTTTAATTCTTAATTCGCCAATCGATAAGAATTTTATCTATGAATCTGTTAAAATTAAGACTTTATCATTTTTCAAAATGACACTATTGAAAATTGGACGAATGTGCAACTAATGCTATGATAATTGAAAGAATCATCGATTGGCTGCGAAAGGTGATTTCCCTAACACAGATTTCAAAGTTGAATTCCTTCCGGTCTCACCAATCGGTGTTTATTCAATCACCGCGTGATGAGTGGTGGTGTTCTCCAGTTCACAACGAAAGGCTGCCTGCAAGCAGCGAGCTGCAGCCCACATAACCATCCATAGAAAGAGGAAGAAGCCTCACAGCTATTGATCGGAATCAGTAGCTCTTCGTGAGTCGATGTGGGCCATCTATGTCAAGTGCGACATTTTAAAGAGTATTAACAGAGAGAAACCCGCTCAAATTCCTATTCCTACACAAAACACAAGCTCCTGCTGCAGTTAACAAATAAAATTTATTATATAAGACCACGTAGTCCTACGTCACCATTGTGTACAACCCCATAGGGCTCTCCATAGCTCGATACCTCCCTAAGTCGATGGTCATTTGAATTTATTAAAAAATGCTACGTTTAAAGAGGGAGCTGAATTTATGCACCAACGCTGAGAAAAAATCCTTCTTACTTGCTTAAAATCCGACATAAGTTTTAGAATGCATCTTCAAAAACAGGAGATTGACATTTAGATGTGAGAATGCTCCCACCCCTTCTTGATTCCAATATACGCAGATATGTTCCGGATGATCACGGCACTTCTTTGAAGACATTTACCTGAATGCAACATCAATTCAAATTGTTGATTCATGTCAATTTCGAATTACTTCTTCGAGAACATGTTCAAACACAAATATGAACCTGCACTCTTAATATGATTGGCGATCAAATGTTGTTGAAGAAGATCTTTAAAAGCAGCATAAGTGGTGTGCGAAACTTCCGAAGTTATACCGGTCTAAGACTGTGATAAACCGCTGTGTTTTGAGAACAACGACGTGAATGGAGTGATAATTATTCTCGGGCTCTTACGGGATGCGGTGACGTTATGTAACATTTCATTTTCCGAGTCAAGAAGATGGCAACCACCAGTTACTAGTGCTAGTTAAGTTTTTGATGTGGGAGCTCTGTAGGAAATGGCTTGACAGGGTTGATCCCATCTTCAGCGAAGACCTTAAAAAATGAGGAACCTGAGATCAGAAATGTGTAAGATTTACGACATGCCTAGATATGCTACGGTAGATGAAGCAGTGACATTCGAGTTAAATGGCCTCTCGGTTACATTTCAACAAGCTTAAGGATGCTGTATTTATTAACGCAGCATGACTGCTGATGAAATGATTGGTGGGTTCGGAGATAGGAGATAACGATTTCGTTGCTAGAATTACGTGCGGTGATCTTGCTGTCAGAACAAATAAAAACAGTACGAGAAGACTTAAGCTGAACATTTGGCAAGCTCCACAACCTCAATTCCAGTTTCAAAAAGCGTGAACGACTTCTTAGTCGATTGTCGAATCAGGCCTTATATATTTGGACCAGAAGCTTTCTTGTAGCGAATTTGTTTTTGATTCATTTCCAACCTGGATCGGGTATCAAGTTTGGGTCGGGTTGTTGTCAGACAAACGTCACTGTAAACGTTTGTTTTTGTGACCTGGCTCGGGTTCAGGTTCGCACGGGTTGGAACTGATTCTAACCGGGATAATAAATAAATTCACTTTTAATTTATCATACCTCTT